TCCCCTGCTAGGTACAGAGGGGGCACAGGCTTGGCAGCTCCTTTTTTTCTAGCGCAGGTGTGCTTGGTGTGCGGGGGCGCCGATTCTTCGTGCGCTCAGTCGCTTCCAAAGCGTCTTTGCTTTCCCCAGCGCGCTACACATATGTTTGAGTAGACCATGAGGCTGTTGACTTCCCTTCAAAACTTGCAAAAGCGTCAAAGGTGTCTCTAGTTTACATTTGAAATTAGAGGTGTGTAAGAACATATATCTGTGCCGGTGGTAGCAGCAAATCTTAGAATATAATTTTGGCAGGAAGTCTGACTTTCCAGGTGTATGTAAACAAACGTGTTTGCATGTGTCTCGTGTGGCTAAGTAATCGTTCACTGCCTGTGTAGTTCTTTCGCTTTTCTAAATGGTTTGCATATAAAGTAGCTACAGAGTGAGATCCTTTTGAGATTAGGGGTTTCACTGACTTGGTTTATGTCTGCCCCCAAACATACCCTCTTTCTGAAAAGAGACTATCTTAATTTTTTAAAAATTATCCCTTTAAAGTGCTGATGTATGTTGAACTTTTTCCTTGTTTCCCAAACAAGATATAAAAAGCAGGAAAGAGAATGAAATATGCATTTTAACACAGATACTCTGAAATGCATTATCTGTGTTTTAGAAGTTTTTTTTTTAAATCAGCCGTCAACTTGGAACCCAGACGTGTTGTTGTGGGTCAATATAAAGACACAAAAACAGGAAAGAGGAGGCCATTGCTAAAGAGCTCATGATCTTAGAGACCAAATCTAGCGTTTGTTTCTCTTTCGAGCAGCCCCTGGTTTTAGTCTTTCAAAAAAGGGGGAAGGAGGATGGGAAGTGAGTTTGTTCTAGTAACATCCATGTATGGTAGCTATTTCCAGTCTCTTTTGCATCTTTTTCCAAGAAGCTCTGGACATGAAGAGCTTCCAGAGAATTAAAATGATTTCTACAGAAAGGTGTTTTATGTATTGATGTTAATCTTTTCCCCCCCCCCACCCCACTCTTATCTTGAGCTCTGTATTGTGTTACCTTATTTATTTATTTATTTCTCCAACTTGTGTTTCTGCTGATGAATTCCAGCCTGTAGCCTTGCTCTTCTGAGAAAAGCAGCAAGTTGTTTCTGGATTATCTACTCCTCTTTCTGTCTTTCTGTTCTTTACAGCATGTCCCACAAACTGAGCAAGTTATCATCAGTTCAGGAAGGAGATTAAGAAATTCAGAGTTGAGGCAGGGAAATGACAGTAAAAGTAGTGAATGATCTTCTGTTACAGCTATGAAGTCAAAGTGGATTTTTTCTTCTGATAGAGTGTTCTCCTTCTCACTGTTGATTACAGCATAAAAGACATTTTATATATATGTGTGTGTGTATGTATGTATGTGTGTGTGTGTGTATGTATATACACCCAGACACAGAGTAGTCATTTTCCTCTATGAGCTTTTCAGCTTTTTCATGCTACTGTGATGCTAGCGAGCCTGTCACTTTCCTATGTGCCTTGTTTGGAGGAAGTAATATCAGATCAAAAGATGTGCTTAGCTGCTTCAGTGTGTGTTGATTGAAATACAGTTTCACTCAGGCATCAAAACTGCAAGAGATTTATAGGTCTGAATATCTAACTACACAGTGTGTGGTGGTGTGGTTTTCTTTTTTTTCCTCCCTATATACTTGCAAGACTAAATGCAATTACTGGAAAACAATGCTATTTATTTATTTATTTCAGTAGTACCAATACTATCTGGAGATCATGGAGACTCTTGTCATGGACTGAAGAGGCTCCCCCCCCTCCCTTTCCCAAGTATCTTTCTATTCTCTTAAAAGTGTTGATTTTAAGCTGTGTTTGCAGACATCGGTCTTCTCGCTGCCAAGTCCTCACAAACGCAATTCTTCTCCAGTATTCAAAGGCCAAAACTTTAAAATGGGAGGGGAAGATAAAATTAACCGTTTGAAGCTTCTGGGAGAATGCGTGCAGACAGATCTAAATACTTGATCTGGTACTTAAGCAAATGATATTGCTGTTGGAAGTTTTTAGTCTTGAAATCAGTTACAAAATTATTTCCTCCAATTTTTTTAAAAAAATACAACGTTATAGGAAACTCGCCAGGGTGATACAAGCATTAGCTATCGTTTGTATTGCAACAGAGCTATGGGTGTTGCAAACAAATGTATAAGCAAAGTGCTGTCCAGGGATTTACACATTTGTTGTGAGTGTTGGTAGCTGTATAGATGTTATTTCCACCTCACAAACAAGAGAGAAGCTGACCGAGCTGGAGGCTGGGTGGGAGCCAGCGTTTGGGGCCGGGAGGGCGCAGTTGATGCTGATTCAGGTTGTCAGTTTCTGCATCTTTTACAGCCAGGCCTGTGTCTCTTCACTTTACAGCAATTGTGTGCCAGAAATATGGCTACAGACTGGCTTGGAAGCATTGTGTCAATTAATTGTGGAGAAAGCTTGGGAGTCTACCAAGGACGGGTGTCTGCTGTGGATCAGGTCAGCCAGACCATTTCTCTGACACGGCCCTTCCATAATGGGGTCAAGTGCCTCGTGCCAGAAGTCACCTTCAGGTTAGTGTCTTTTTTCTGTTTTCCAGACAAGGCCTTTTTTTTTTTTTTCCTTTTTTGTTTCTTTTTCTTTCTACTCACCCTAGAACTGGGCTCTTTGCCTTAAATTTTATTACTACTAATGAGCGTCTTTGGACGAAGAGTGCCTCTAATGTTTTCATGAATTTGTATGCAGAAGACTGTTATTTTCTGGCTCTGTGCTCACAGTGTTAGAACTGGTATAGCTCACAGCTGGAGGATGTTTGTGGCTGAAGCTATGTGTATGTATGTATCATGTAGGTGTACATGTTCTCTGTTGAGTTTTCATATGGTTGAGAGAATTGGCATGTTCTCTTAAAGGTTCTTCCTCGGAATATGTAATGTACGTTTTCAAAACGTGTTAGAAGAGAAGGCAGATCAGTTAAAGTTATTGGCCCAAATGCAATTACATTTGATTAAATGCAATCATTAAGTCCATCTCGTGTCTTCTACCACACTCTCGTCTCCTTGTAGGCAGCGTTTCTGTCTACTAAAAACTATTGCCGTTGGTTGGGTAATCTTGCTGGGTAAGGCTGGCTGCTAATTGGTGTAGAAAACTATTGGAAAGGTTTGGAGCTAAGAAGCTGAATTCAATGTAGCAGTACTGTAGTAGTTCTGAGTTCCCTCCCACCAGCTCCTGGTGACATCGTGTTTGAAAGAAAAATAAGAGATTAGTCACAGGATATTTTCCTGTTACCTGTGCAATTTGCTTGCTACAGTGAGACTTAACGATACTGTATTTTTAAATAAGGTTAAATACAGATTTTGACTCAGAGGCTTAACGATACTGTATTTTTAAATAAGGTTAAATACAGATTTCAGAATATCACCTTTTCCTTGAACTAGGATTTTGAAGAGATTTTTGAATGGGAGAGGAAGAAGGCCATATTATTCCAGGAAACGTGTGGAAGTCTGTGTCAAGTCCTTGCTACTTCTCATGCTGTTAATTTTATACCCTAGCTGAACCAATGCTTATCAGGTCTAAAATAGAAGACCATAACTTCCAATTTATTTCTTGCAGTCTGTGCAAATGAAGGTGTTCGTGATCACTTCTTTGTTTCATTTTGGTTTGTAACCAGTACTACTTTAGTTTCCCCTTCTGAGGAAATTGGAAGCGCCATCCCTGGCTGAGCATGAATTGCACCAATTTAAGAATTGCTTTCTGTAGAAATGGATTACAAGAAGCTGTAGCCTGAAGGCTGAGATTAATTATATTATCTGGAAACTGCTATATTAAGGCAGATTTCTGCAAAGATCTGTGCGAGTTGTTCACATCTGCTTCACTGATTCCTGTTTCAGCTGGGAACAGTACCCAGAACAAAAACAGGGTGCAGTAAAGAAATACTTGAGTCCTTATTCTGAAGATTCAAATCACTTCAGTTGAATATTTTGTCTGTGGGATGTGTCCTGTAGTCTGTGTATCAAATCCATTTTTTTTTTTGTTTCTGTTGATATTGGCATCAGAAAAAATATTGTAGAATATTGCGTGTGTTCCTCTAGGGTGGGTTGGTTTGTTTGTTTTAATAAAAGTAGCCTGAACGCTGAATTCCAGAATGTCTGGTTCTCTTTTCCTGTTTTTAGGGCAGGTGACATTACTGAGCTAAAAATTCTGGAGATCCCAGGGCCGGGGGACAATAGACAATGTGGGGATCTGCAGCAGACGGAAATGGACATCCCTGGTGTTGGATGCCAAGTGGGTCCCAGTCAGAATGGCACTGGAAAAGTGTTAAAGAAGCCCATCTCCAGCAGTGCCCCACAGAATATTCCAAGGAGAACAGACATGAAGAGTCAGGATGTTATCATCTCTCCACAGCAGCAGTGCTCCAAGAGTTACATGGATCGGCATGTGGAAACACTGACTCAGTCCAAAGGCTTCCGTCGTAGACACAATTCATGTAAGTATATGTGCTGTCCTGCAACTTTCCTTTTCCCATACCTGAGTTACTACTGCAATGTCCACTCTTCTTCAGCAAGAACATTTCGCACAGTGCTTTGTTTGTTTGCTTTTGTACTTTTATTGCCCTCTAAAGGTCTGGAGAAGAGAAATCGAATGGTGGCGATAAAGACATCAAAAGCTGTTCCACAAAGTAGTATAAGTATAGGTCTTGCAACTGCCTTGCACTTATCTTAAGTTCTTTTATGATTTGATGATGGTGTAATCTCATCTGCGATTCGGTATGAATGTTCACACGGTTTCAGTAACGTTTGCAGGACTGAGTTTGTAAAGAAGTATATGTACTTGCACAGAATAACCTTAGAGGTGTGAAATGTTCTTACGGGCTAAGGTCAGGTGATGGGGGTTGTTTGACTTCATCTGCTGTTTCCATATTTTATTTTATTTTATTTTTTGTAAAACAAGTTCTGTTTCTCTAGGCTTCCATATATATTACAAGAAGGTCTTCAGGGTATACTAGACACAGAGTTGCTTCGTTGATCTCTTTTTTGCCATCGTACTGATGCAGACTGTAAATTCTAGCTCCTTTTCTTCTGTGGGTCGATCTTAAAGTTATACCTAGAGTTCCTTGGAGGCAAATTCCCTCTACTTTTCCTTCCTTTTGCTTCAGAGTGGAATACCTTTCCTAGCTAGGCAAAGCCTGGAAAAGATTGTTCCAGAGAAGTTAGTCCTATTTGAAGGAATAACTGGAGAGTAGATAATGGTGAAAACAAACTCATGTGCTGCCTTTGCCCTCTTCTGAGCCCATGCGGAGGAACAACTGAAAGCAGGCGAATCTAGTGGGAGGCCAGATCCCTTTTTAGCATGGCACTTAATCATGTGCTTGCTTTTTAACGGAGTTTCCTTGGCTTCTCCAGGGTATTCCAGGTGGGGGCCTGAGGTGGTGTGTGAGCGTTTTACACAGTGTGGTCCTGGAACTAACCCAAGTAACAGGCGGAGGAAGTTGTAGCGGACTTCTGTGATGTCGCTGTTTGCTCATAAAGGCTGGTGGCATTGAGGTGCCGCAGACCAACTGTTGCAGACTTACTGCTGAGACGCCTGCTCAGAATAACCTTCAGAATTGCGTAGGTGAGAAGAGGCTGCGTTTATGGTTTTACTCGTTAGGTTCAGGGTGATTTTTTGTTTTTAATGTAACGTTGGTTGTGTTGTGAGGATTCAGACCTTGCCAAACCTGTTTTGAAATACTTCAACGTTGTGAAAGGAAATTATTCTCTCTGAACTTTAAAATGCTGCAAAGTGTTCTGTGTGATTCTTGTGACCGTGGTAGAACTTTGAGAGCGATGGTCACAGAAGCTCTTTCAGAAGACAGAAGTAAGGTGTTCCTGTGTACTTCCAAAATGGCTTGGGATACAAACTCCAAATTCATTTTCCTGTTGCTAGTATTGCTGAGAAATAACAGTTTTTATTTTCGGGGTATGTTAACTTTCTTAGTGCATGTAGAGCAATATTAATGAAGAACCACACCCTCCCCACTCTCCCCACTGACATCCTAGTCTGTTCCTACCCTCTTCTGACACTGCTGGCATAAACTTGGGTTGGATGAGAACGCTAGGGGTGGATGCTATAGGAATTTGGGAAATGACTGGGGAAAAGATGCGTATGAACGTAGGGTGGAGAGGAGCAGCAAAGACATTGAAGGAAGTGGTTGGAGGTAGGAAGGAGAGGCTGCTGTGTGGGCTGGTGTTTGGGAGAGACATAGATGATGTTTGAGAGCTTTTAGGAAGATGGTATGTTGCACTGGTAGAGCCGAAGGGCCTGGAGGCTGTGGGTGGCTGCTGAGACAAATTATGTGGTGGAGCATGAGCTGGAGTTTACTAAAATTGTACCATATGTTATTGATGTATAAATACTCCTTTTGCCCGTCCCTATTTCAGTGTTCAGAGAACAGCTCTGCTTGAAAAGGCAAAGAACAGTCACGCAGTTGTTTTCTTTATTGCAGTGTTTCTGTAAGGATTGTGCTTGGTGCCTATTTACATAAAAGCAAGTAATTCTTTAACAACATTTTTGTTAAAGCAAGGTAATGTTCAAAGTTATTTTAATTAGTAGAGCAGAGCTCTTCCCCTTCCCACCCCAGGTGTTGTTCTGCTTCACCAGCATCAAATGTTGGAAGATGTAGAACTGAGTGGTGCCAGTTAGAATGCTTTCCTCAGTCCTAATGTCTCTCCTGATTGAAAATTGCCCAGTGGCCGGACTCCGTTTCTTCTCTAAAAGGAACTAGAAATAAATTGCAAAATTGTAAAGCTTTTTTTCTGCTTAAAGCTTATAGAACCATAACCTGTGACAACATCACCCTACAAGTAATTACAAATGTTATTTACTCTCCTGTGTGTTGTTAAAAGTACAAATCCTCATATTCTAATGAGGATGACGTGAAGGTATAAGCAGCATAATGTCCAAGTCAAGCATCCGTTATTTTCTGTTCATAAAATCTTCAACCAGCTCTCATGCTGTGCCAGAACTGGGTATGGTTTTTTCCCCTCCTCAAAGGCCCCCAGACTATGCCACTTTCCAGTTTTTCATCATGCAGTCTTTGAAGCATCAGTATATATCCAGCATATTTCCATAACTTTTTCCCCTTCTATTTGTGTTTAAGAAAAGGGGGTGTGGGGAAGCAAGGTGTGCAGGGCCAATTAAACAGGGAGCACAAAGGCTATATTTATATGGAGAAGTTCCTGGACCTCTAGAAGTCTTTTATTTAATTTTTTTTTCTCCTACAGCTGTATTAATTTTCTGAAACAGTTATGACTTTTTTGGTGTCTGTTAATTTAATCTGAGCTAACAAGGTTTATTACTAGATTTTTATTTTTAAGGGACAATGTGTTTCATATGCAGATTTTTTTTGTTTGTTTGTTTAATGACTGTCAGTGGTGGGAGGAGGAAGGCCAGAACAACGTGGGGGGACGCACATGTTTCTCAGTGACCTAACCGTCTTCGAGCCAGCCTGTGAGTGTTTTAGCTCTGCCTGGGACCAGACACTTTTTGCATTGTAGTACTTGCAATAGAGTGAGAGCTGTGCTTTCCTTTTTAAAGTTGTTTTTGGTTACCTAACTCTTCCTTAATTACAGCTAGCTGTTTGAGCATACTTTTTTATATCTTTTCGTAAAAACTTTTTCAAACTTCTCCAGTTCATCTACCTCAATGTCTAAAATAACCCCTGCTTTGCTTTATTCTTGCTGGATGTAATGTGTTGTGAGGGCTACCTCACTTAATGCCGTTTTGTCAGCTTCTGGTAGGTCTGGAGCGAGCAGCAAGAGCTTCAAACCACTTTAGTCGACAAGGAGGCTGCATCATTTTTACACAAGCACAGCAGCGGTCAGATGTGCTTTTACAGATTTTTGTTTAGAACAAGTTGTGCAAGTACAAGTGCTAGGTGCATGTTATGCTTAGCCTGGATTCCTTTTTAGGGCAAATGCGACAAAAAAAATTGAACTCTCACCCTCTAAAATACACATATTTGGAGAGGAGGTCAAATGATGCATGAATTTCAGTAGTGGGACAGAAGAGGTCCTGGCTCTGAGAAGGTGCTGGGTATAGGAGTCAAGGGAAGAATGGGCTACGATGTCTTCTAGAACTTAAGTTACATCGTGCCTGGGTTTAATACAGCTAGAAGCTGACCTTTCGATGCCCTTTAGCGTGCTAAGTCTGGGACAAAGTTCCCACTTTACAGTACTTGTGTAACAGAAATCAATAAACAACAAATAGCAATGCAGATTACACAACAATGGCTTCTGTGCCGTGCTGGCACAGGCCTCGCTCATGCCAGGGCTGGCCGTAAAAGCTCGCTCCCACTGGGATCTCGCAGGAAGGTGGCCAGCTCACTAGAGACTTCACATTTGCTCATGTACTATGCGTGAAAGGGTTGGTTTATATATTTAAAAAAAAAACACACAAAAAACCCCGGGAAGTATTGTTTATCTTTTGAGGAGGTACTTTCTGTGCAGCGTCAAGCTGCCAATTTGATGTGGAGCCATGTGCTATTCTCTTCCAGCTTCTCGCATACACATGGAGCAGAGGCTATGAAAGTTGCACTCCGAAAGGAGCTGGATTTGAGGAGCTGGCTTTCTGTAGCTGCTCGGCAGATGGATGAATAAGGCTGTTGGAAGCATGCACAGCTAATAGCAACTTTCAGGAAATGGCCTGGGCTGGTGTCACACTAGTGCCCTGGAGGACAGTGGCTGCTTTTCCTGTTAGCCTGCCCTCTTTTTAGGCCTCCCCCTGCCCTGAACTGTGTCAGCTGCTGCCCTTCTTGCCTGCCTAGATGGATACGCTTGAAGAGGAGTACCAAATAGCTTGGGCATTTGTATGAGGCCTCTGCGTGTTCTGTGCAACTTCTGTTACTGGGTTGTAACAGCCTGTAAAAAGAGAGCCAGTTGTGAGGGTCAGCAGTATTTCAGAGCTGGCATCCGTTGGTATGGATTAACGAACTGCCCACTACAATGCTGGCATGTCTCGTTTTGATGGGACGTGGTCTTGGCTCCCATTCATTGTGTCTGCAGGGGAGCCGGCAGAGCTTTCCAGCCATTGTTCTCCCAGCTTTTCTAGTGCAGCTTTTTATTCTGTCAGCATTTACGCTCTGTTCACATCAGCTGCTTCTGTCCCATGGATCCAGTGCATGGAGATGCTTCTACCCCCACGCTTTGTTTTTCAGGGCAACCGAAGGGTAGAGCGGAGCTGTTTGCAGGAGAATCTGGCAATGAGCGTAAAAACTCTTGTTGGGTAACAGGAACAGACTGAGTTGCTGTGACACTTGACACTCGCACAAAAACCAGACTTGTTTTGCCGCTGCATTCAGCGTAGGCTTTATCTTATTGATCTGAACTTTGAGAGGCCTTCGGATATTGCTTTGACCTCATCTGGAGTTGGTGAAACGTACCGAGAACTCGGCCCGTTGTGTTGATCTAGGCCAGTTTTCGTTGCTTGTGCCACTGTTAGCAGCAGTATTGGATGCGATTCCCTAGCTTGGAGTGGCGGTTGCCAGTTCCGCAGCAAGACGGGGACCCCTTTGGAGTGGTTGATGCATCAGCTTTGGTTTGGGAATCCGTCATCTAGGGCAGAGAATGGAAGTTAGGTGTTAGTGAAAAGCTTTCCCTTTCTCACAAAACTGTGCATGTAAATGGCTGGTCTCCGCTTTCCTCTATGTGTGCTGGAATTCTTGCCAGAAATCCTTGTCTTCTCTCTCTCCAAAATTGTTTTTGGTCACCAGCAACTCCCGAGTCGGCTGTCTGTCCTTCCATGGCTCCTTGCCTAAGGCGGTGTGTTACAGTAATCTGTTCTCACCCAGTTGTATATAAAACTCCTTGAAGTCTCCAGCACCTTGAAAATCGCTGTGCTTGAAGTCGAGCTACTAGCTGCAGTTAGGAACTTCAGAGTATTATAAACAGAGGAGTGCGTGAGCAAGATGGTTGCAGCTTGTTGACACTGTCCATGCCGCACGGTGTTATTGGTTTCAGTTGCTCCAGTTAAGTGCAATATAAATATTTAATGCTGACTGTTGTATTGATGTTACTGTTTTGAAGAGACAGATGGCTTTGTGCTGTGGCCAGTGGATTTTCATGGTTAGAATAAATCCAGTAGGCAGGTTAATTGTGTTGCTGCAAGGCACTTAGATTATTAGCTATCTAATTTTTTAGATGCCTTTTAAAATACTGTTTCATTTACTGTAACAGGGCTGTAGCTAAAACAGCGTAATGTAGTGGAAAGGAATGGTGGTGTAGAGAAAGCTAGTGTCTGTCGTTAGGCTGGGTGAGACAGCTGGGCAAAGTAGATGCTCTCAGTCCCTTCATTGCTTGTTTGGGACACCGGGGCAAAACAGCTCTTAGACTGTTGCCATCTTATAAAACAAAACAAAAAAAAAGAAGAAAAACAATTTGTGTGCGTGTATAAACTTTGTTCCCCCAAAGCAAGCAAAGTCTTGACAGTTTAGGGTCTCGCCTGCCACTTTTTAAGATGCAGGATACCGGCCTCTTGTTGCGCTTCTTGTTGTTGGAATCCCGACCGATGGCCTGACCGGAGCTGGCGCAGTATTGAAGGGGAGTGTTCATAGTGTTCACGTCTATTTTGTTTAACTCGAATAACGTTATATGTGTTCTGGAGAAAATGCTGCTGACCATCTCAAAGAGCACCCTTGGTGTGGGGGTGGCGAGAGCTTTCAGACTAAGCACCAAGGCAGTTCTCTAGAAAAAAACAAGTTACAAACTGTCTTTAAAATGGGGAAGCTTAAGCAAGAGGGAAAAAAAATTGAGGCAGTGCTTTTGTAGTTGAGAATGAAACCAAATGCATACCGCCCAGCAAGTCATATTTCAGTGTGTTTAGTGTTTAATGGACCAATCCACTTCTTTTTGGTCCTAACCTTAGATTTTTGTCAGAACGAGCTTCAGATAAGTTCAAAGGATATTAGATCTGGGTCCGTGCGTTTTAAATGCCTTGAAAAAGATGTAT